ATATTTCTGTTGTAGCTTCTTACTCATATTTTGATTTGAATTTATGCTTTAACCTTGTGAACTTTTGAAAAAAAATAGATGCTTATAATACCATGGGACCATGTATTCTGGAAAAAAAACTAGAAGGAATGATGAGAATGAGAGGACAGAGAGAGCAGACCAGAGCAGAGCAAAGGAGAACAGAGAGGGCAGGTTTTATTCCTTAGCATGAAACTACTTTTTAGGTAGGACTGTTCTTTTGTTTCTGTTTTTACTAACAGGAATAAAAATAGAAGCCTTTTCTTTCTCTGAGCCAAAGAGGTTGGAGTTTATTTTTCATTCAAATGAGTGTTTCCTTTTGGCACTGGAACTTGCTCTATGGAGCTTGCTCCTCAGGGCTTTTGCATATATATTCATATATATTCATGAATGTTTGTATATGTAAGTATAGGTGTGTGATTATAAGTATGCATGACTACTTGTAGAGTTGATAAGACAGGGTGATTGGCCTGATGTGTGTGTGTGTGTGTGTGTGTGTGTGTGTGTGTGCATGAATGTGTGTGTATCTATACATATTTGCTTGTGTAAACGTTTTTATTTCTATCCTCATTTACAGAAAGTTAATTGCTCCAAGCTTCACTCTTGCTTGGCCAGTGAGAGGTGAGGCTTCCAGAAAAGAGAAAAACTCTAACAATAAATCCTTTACCTAATTCCCTGCTGCTACACAACAGAAATTAATTATCAGAAACTAGCAGTATTTAAGACTTTGAATAACAAAGATTTAAGTAAATAAATAAACCCTTAGATAAAGAGTAAATATTGCCAAAAGTGAGCTATTTTTGCCCCAGCAAACTTCCCACAACTCCTGTGACCGCAACTGCCAATGCCCCCATCTTTGCCTTCTAGACTTGAGCTAGGCTGACTGTGTACAAAGCCATCAGAACTCTCTTGTTTTTCACTTCCAACTGCTGGGATGAGCTGCACAACACTTGGCATTATGTCTTTGCTTCTGGAGGTCAGGCTTAGATCCTTCACATGCAAGACCATCACTGTACTGACTATGCTGTCTTCCCAGCCCAGCAGCCATTTTTTCTTTTTCTTTGAACATAAGGAACATGTAATTGTGATGAATAATGAATTAGCAGTACAATGCAAAGATTGTTTGTTTAATGACATTTATTCCACCCCATTTAAGGCTCAAGGTATATTGAAAGCGGCTCAAGAAAGA